GCTCTTTGTCTTCCCATACTAGGCCCATCCTCCACCACATGTTGAATGTTAAAGCCCTTGTGATCCAATCACTTCCCAAAAGCCATGGCAACCAAGTCTTCAGCACATGGCCCTTGGAGGATTATTTTAGATCCAAATGTATGTAGCACATGTCTTTTTCTCAGAACGCATGTATAGATAGCTGCATGTCAGGAAAAAAAAATCTTCTTTCTATCCTTATCTTACTGGCACCATAATAATTTCTTTATTGTAAATAATTTCTCCTTAGAATTTGGAAAGCATATATCCCCTCTCTTGGAATTCAATGTGCTATTGAGAAATTTAGTTGCCTTATGAGTTCTTTTCTTTCTGTGACCCATTTTTGATTTGTTTGCCTATTTCTAGCTTTTTGGAAACTTTTAAATGTTGTTTGATATCTAAATTTCATTATTCTCCTCCAACTTGAGAAAATGAAGTAAATGGTTTGTCAGATAATTGGCTTACCATTTTTCCTTACCTTTTTCTTCTACCCTTAATGTTTAGGTGGCTACAAAGATGCCACCTTTCCTTTTTGACTCAGATGTCTTTTCAGAGCACAAACACAGACCTGGGGACAAAGTTTGCCTTTGATGTTTGTTAAGACCTTCCTCATCTTGTAACTAATAGTGGCAATTGATAGTTTTTAATACTAGAATGGTTTCCAAACTCCTATCCATTTTTTCATCTACACTTGACAGTAGTGCCTTCAATTAAGAAGCTCAAAAGGAATTCTCTTCCAAGCTTTGTGCCCCACTATAATCATTATCACTTAAAATTTTTCCCCATATTTTCTCTTCCTCTAGCCATAGGCTCAAAGTCTTCAGCTGGGTTAGTTTTGGCAGGCAGCTCTAGCCTCTTCTTGTCCCCATAGTCTATGTATTTAGCTGTAAAATGTCTCTTCCTTAACTCATTCTTCTCCATTCTCATTGATAGTAATTTTCTTTTTTGGGGGGGGTGAGGGAGCTTTTGTTTGTATGTTTGTTTGTTTAAGTGGAGTTTGATCTCAGAGCCTTGCACCTGCTTAGGCAGGTGTTTTGCTACTTAAGCCATGACCCTAGACCTATATACATTTTTAAAAACACTACGTTACTGTGATGTTATTCACCTTAGTAAGCTCTTGACAATTGCAAGTAATTTTTTTATTTAAAAAAATTTTAATGTCAGAAGAAAGGCTTTAAATATTTTGAACATAAATTAATTTATAGTTAGTTTACATTTTAGTCAACATGTAAAGGTGGCTAATTTTTATTTTCCTGGTCTGTAATAAAATAAGAATGAATCATTTAAACACTGTACTATACATGTTCTGTTTTTATTTATATCTTTTACTTCTGTCCCTGTATTCCTCCAGTCATAAGTTCTCTTCCCTTCCCAGTCTCTGTCATGGCTAAATTCTACCTATTCCTCTTGTTGTAATTCACTAGGGAACCTTGCATTTCAACCCCCCCCATATATATATATATATATATATATATATATATATATATATATATATATATATGTATATATACACACACACACACACACACACACACACACACACACACACACACACACACACACACACACACACACACACACACACACATATCCCTTCCAAATATCCCTTTCAAATCTCCCACACTTATACTTCTGAGATTAGAAGAGATTTCTTATTAATCTCTGGGACCAAGGCATCGTTAGTGTGAAATAATATTCTAGTACACAGCCACTTGGCAGCTTCATGGGTAGGGAAACTTTTTTCTGTCAAGGGCCATATTACAATATTTTTTGAGGGCCATACAAAATTATTAGTGCAGGCCAACAGGTCAAGGTAAGTTGATGAGAATCATACATGTCTGTTCCTTTATGTATCAAGTGGTTTCATAAGCCCTATAAAGACCTAAGGCTACATGTTGCCAACTTCTATTAAATGAATATACTAAACTCACATTCCGTGTTGAAGAACATCTTCCTTATATGTCCATAGCCTCCCCCATAGTTTGAATCATCTATTTGTACAGAGTCTATCTGTACTTCAATCCAGAATCCCTTTTAAAATAGTACAGTACTTATATGTTCTTAAGCAAATACACGTAAGCAAATACACTTCGAAAAACTCAATTTGTCATGTGCTATATCTAAAATAGTGCTTGAAACATTTAATAATAAGCATATAATTGATTCAAAGTTTGTATAGGCTGCTAGTGAGGTCATTGTGAATTTATTTCCATATGTGTTTTTATCGCTTCACAATTTACCAACTGCTTTTATTTGTATTACCTCATATGATCTTCTCATTAAAATTAGACAAATAATTTCTCTATTTTATATGTCAGGATTACTGTGTCCGCAGTCCAGTGTAGAGTCAGCTGAGAGGTGGTGCTATTTTGGTATTATTTCCATTATGTATATGGGAGGGAAGTCAAGCAAAGCCATCCACTGAGGCGGTCATGAGCAGGGAAGGTGTATGTTCCAGCAGTAAGGACGGTGGGAGAGAGAATTTCTGGAGAAATATAGGCAGTTCCCTTTAGCTCAGTAGTCTTTTGTGATGTTTGTAAGGAAAAGGTGAGCTTGGAAAAGCATTTAGAATCATTGTGTGATATTGAGGGAGGTAAAAGAGTTCAAACTTTATACTGTGGGAACTAAGAGGATATTGAACATTTGTGACTTAGGTAATTAAAAATTATAATTCTGTTTTCGGACTTATTGGTAATGTTTGGGATGAATGAGAATTAAGGAGAAACTAGGAACAACATGACTTTCTGGGGAACTCATGTAGTGTTCCAAGTAAGAACATTTGAGTTCTGTACAACTAACAGTACAATTGCAAAAGAGGAGAGATTAGTTCAAAAGATAGCAGTAAAATTCAGTCAACAATTTCCCTGTCTGAAACAGGGAACTGGAAAAAAGGATAGCATTTATAATGGTGCAGTGGGATTCATCCATACCTCCTGTCTGTTTGCCCATAACATTTACTGTCTTGCATTAGTTCTTCCAGCTACTCATCTTAAAGCTATGTTTAGTCAACATATATGCATTGGACACTTTCTATGTAATATATACATTTTCTTAAGTGTTAAAGATAAATGAAGTCGATAAACATGTCTCACTCTGAGCCCACAGTCTAGTGGTAGACACTGTCAAGAAATCAATTTGATATTATTGTAAAAGATTTATTGTTGTGCGTATTGCATGCCACAGAGACATAAAAGGGCTTCATCCTAAATGGGTCAGTGCACAGTTCTCAGTTCTCTATCTTGAAGCAGAATAAGGAGCTCTCATGGTAAAGAAAGTGGGAAAGATGTTCTATATCGAAAGAAGTGAGCATAAGTTGCTTAATGAGATGAAGCATGTTAGTGTCTGTTGCCAGAGAACAGTGATCTAATATATTTATTTTACTTTGATAAGTTTGGCACTATCATCTAAAATCCAGCCCATAATCAAAAATCCCTAGTCATCCCAATAATATCATTCATAGCTTTTGTTTTACAATTCAGTAGTTAAAGACTATTATATTTGCCTATGTCTCTTCTGTTTCTGTTCATCTTGAATATTATCCTAGCATTTTTCCCTTACTTCCACTGTCTTATTCTCTTTTGCAAGTAAGCATGAGATTTTAAATTTTCTTCTTTTTAATCTTTAAAAAATATTTCTTTTACTAGTGAAATATATTACCTACCTTAAATATTTGGAATTACTTCAAGTTCTTTTTAGGAAAAATCATAGTCTAAGTTGGAGTATAAATTTTCAAAGATAATTAGGTAATTATTAAACTGTCTGCAATACTTAATGTATTCTAATTAAAAGAGTCATCACAGCACCTTAAAATTAAATTTATATGTAAATTAACAACCCTAGATTCTCTTATTTCTCTCCCACCTTTTTTGATAACACCTACAAGGTTTAGTATCTTCTAAAAATATGAAATGGAACCAGATGGAAAAGCAGCTGACACATATTTATATTTATGTTGCTGTTTATAAACTGTAAATGAGTATGTTATTTGTACTTTAGTGGATTCACTTCTCAACAATTCTCTATAAAGGGATCTTATCTTAAAAAGGAAAACAAAATGAGAAATAAAAGGTGTCTCAGAACATCATTTTCCATTATTTTAGATGTAATAATAGATTAGCCACGTAGTTTTACAGACAATTCCTACAGATAACTTCTTTTCAAGGGATAGTGTTTGTTTTCTTGAATTTGAGTTGGGCAAGTAACTCCTCTGAAGCTTGATCTCCTAACTTTTAATAGATGTAGCCCTGTAAGCATTGTAAAGTTATTCTATTATTTATAGATAGAATCACCTCTATACTTATGTACTTATAGCTTTTGTGAACTATATACAGCAGGTCAGTTTAAAATAATCATTACTAGAAAATAGTCCTTTGTGACTTTTTTATTATAGGAGATTAACTTTTTACAGACACATATTCAAAAAATGTAGCAGTTGTCTTGTACCACCGCAGACAGGGACCGTTTATCCTCTGCTATGAAAAGAAATCATGAGGAGCTGGTTCATGAGAGTTTGCATGAAAATCTAATTTTATACTTTAAATTTTGAAAGCCAAAATTGCAATAACAACAGAAAACTGTCCCACACCTGGTTGATTTTAGAATGGAGGCTGGTGCCTTAAGCCATATCTCATTTCTATGACGGAAATGTGATTTATGAGAACCCAAGATACAGAGATGACTAGAACCACATTCCATTTAAAGTTGCTGTGTCATTGGACTATAAAAGCTGTGCTCTGAACTGGATCAGTGGAACTGGGTCCACTTTAGTTGACAATACCACAAGTGCTAATGAGACAGATTTCATTAAAAGATAGTCGATTTATGACAGTCTTGGAGTCCTTTCTTACTTTGAAATTGCTAGCTTCGTCCTGGCATCTGGTCTTTTTCCTCCTGACCATCCCCATTACCAGTTTCTCTGTATGCTTTGACATTGCTATGGTAACCCTGAGAACTGATGGAATTCCCTGCATCTCTTTTCACAGAGGGTGATGAGACAGGAGTGATGGATAGTCTGCTGGAGGCCTTGCAGTCAGGGGCTGCCTTCCGCGACAGGAGAAAAAGGACACCAAAGCCGAAAGGTGAACACCATCCGTGTTTCATGTTACCTTCTCAGGAATGATCACAGAGGAGAATACTTTGCTTTTTATTTCTAATTCTTTTAAAAGTCCTGTGTCAAGGAGCAATGCTGTGGGCAGCAACTGTTCAGAAGTTTCCTAAGTTTGCTTAATCCCTTGCAAAGACAAATGTCAGAAAGTTATACATTCCAGTTGGCTAATGTCAGTAGCACATTAACAAATCAATGCGCTGAACCTAGAAAATCCTGATTAGCGTGACAAGTCTCATCTGAAGAACCATATGTACTTCATCCCTGTGGAGTTTACTGTAGCATAATTAAATGGGAAGTTAAAGTCATAACATTACTGCTTCAAGTATTTCAGGGTATTGAAGCATTGCTTTGCTTCCCAAAATACTTAACCTTGGGGGGATGAAAAGCGTGTAATAGTATTACATCTTGAGACAAACAGAACTCAATAAGTTAAGTTTTCTTTTTTCTAATTTTATATCTTTACAGATATTCGGCAAAGTCTCAGTCCATTGTCTCAGAGGCCTGTTCTGAAAGTTTGTAATCATGGTAATAAACTGTATTCATAAATTGCACATCCTTCTCTACTTTCATCCTGTTGCTCTGTTGTTTTAATAGGTTGTGATGAAGCTCTCAAGTTTCAGTATAACTGAGATAGTAAAGATGTGTAAATGTACATATTTGCTAGGAAATTGTGTTCATGTTTTCCTTCCTTCTATTATTGCCCTGCAATTGTCACTTAGTTTCTTCTTTTTGGGCCTTTAATTATTATTATTGTTACTATTATTGTATTTGAAATTACTTTCACATCGTTCTAATCAGTTTTATACTATCTCAGAAGCAGTATGATCTCATAAAACTAATTTTACCTAATGGCTTACTATGGTGAGCTATAATTTGAAATATTAAAACCATTTGTGAAGATATGATTTGTACTAGTATATCTTTGACTTGCATTTTAGCAAAATTGTAAATACAGGTGCACTACATGCAGTAGAAGGATATGCTAAAAGTGCAGAAAAGAAGATAAATTAACTTTATTTCTAATATTTATCTTAAGACTAATACCTTTTAAAATGCCTTACTAGCCTGGCATCAATAGCTTAAAACTGTAGTCCTAGTTGCTTGACAGTAGAAATTTGAAGATCACAGTTTAAGGCAACCTGCACAGAAAAAATTATGAAACCTTTTTTCAACCAATAGCTCGGTGCAATAGCACACATATGCCACCCCAAACTCTGTGTGAGGCTGAGATTGGAGCATCCAAGTTATAACCCAACCCAAGCCAAAAAGTCTTCCAGCGGTACTGGATTGGTTATGCATATTTGTTGTCCCCGCTAGGAGGGAAACCTAACTTTGGATCCAAGTCTAAGCATGAGATATCCTGACAGGAAGTAAGACCCTACATCAAAATTAACCAGTCAGCAATAAGGGGTGGTGATGTGGCTCAACAGTAGAGTACCTACCTGGCAAGTACAAATTCCAGTACCACTACCACAAAGAAAATAAAAGAAAAAGGAAGGAAGGAAGGAAGGAAAGGAAGCAAGGAAAGAAAGTCTTAATCTGTTATGTCGATTGTACCCTTTCCTCTGCTTAGGCAGTCATCTTGCGTTTACTGGCTTTTATTCAGTTTGGTTCCTTTTCTTTCCAAATTCTGTAGGGGTCTGTGTACATTCTGCGTATCCTTTATAAGTGAATTTGTCATCATAGTTCTCCAGATTGTAAATGGAAAAATATTTGATATATTTGTCCAAGTGTTTTTTGGTACTAGTGAGTTAATTTCAAGAAGTAATAATGTCTTGCTGAGAGAGAAACTTGTAACATGTTTTCAGGTAACCTGAAATAATGAGGTAAGTATGGAGTGCAATGATTTTATCACCCAAACAGGCAAAGTGTACACTGTAGAAGCTTAATAAGTGAGAATACAGTGAAAATCGACATTATTTTAAACATCTTTTAAACTTTTACAGTATAACTTTTCTATTTTCTTTTTGTATTTTCATACCTAACAGTAGGAAAAATAATTGTAATAAGTCAGTAAAATTCATTGTGAATAATTAATACCTAACTTTAGTGTTATGATTTTAAGTCAGTATGACATAGTAAATAATGGCAAAGAAGTATAATGTATTGTTCTATTCTACACCTTTGAGATTATTTTGTTCAGTAAATGAGTAAGTAGAAACACATGGAGGCTGAACCCTTCCCAAGAGTAGACAACTGTGACCAAAATGCAGTTCTGTATTCCTACTGAAATTACTTCTTTTATTTACATGAGGGCACTTCGATTTTTATTAAGTTAAATAACTCACCCTCATTGCAAATCATTAAAGAATACAACCAAACACTGATTATGATTATAATGGTACCTGATGCTCAATTAAAGCAAATATTTTAGATATTATGCAGAGGAAAACTACTTAAGATAACTTTGTAAACCAGCCCAGGAAATCTAGTCATTCTATGTTCTGTGACTGTAATATTGATAAAATGGAGATAAAATAACTCAGCTGTCATTACAAAATTGTGGGCTGAGAAGTTGGCTCCGTGGTAGAGTGCTTGACTCTCATGCATGAAGCCCTAAGTTCTATTCCTCAGCACCACATAAACAGAAGAGGCCAGAATTGGCGCTGTGGCTCAAGTAGTAGAGCACTAGTCTTGAGCTGTTACTTCTGTTCATGCCATAAAAGCAGATTAGTACTACATTTTTATAAAACTATTATGTACCGTATTAAACTCTAAGGCTCCTGTGATAATAATCTAGTATGTTATACAATAAGACAAGAAGATAGTTCAGCTGCTCTCCTCTCAGCCTGGTGAAATTCCTGGTGGTACACAAATATAAACCTAGCTACTTGTGAGAGGCTGGAGGATTATGAATTCCAGGCCAGCCTAGACAAGTTAGCAAAACCCTACACCAAAAAAGAAAGAAAGAAAAAAGTAAAAGAAAAAGATGAACAAGTAAGAGAGTACTGACTTTATATGTGTGAATGTTTGGGTTCAGACCACAGCACAGCCCCCAAATTTTTTAAAATTATTTTTTCTGATTTAAATATAATGGATTAAAACATCCTCAGACATTTTTATTCTGTTTCTCACCCCTTGACCTGGGGTTGGATCTTAGGGCCTTGTGCTTCCTCACTTTACTTTCTCAGCTGTCATTCTAACATTTGAGCAACTCCATCAGCCTAGCTTTTTTCTGGTTAATTGGAGATGGAGTTTTAGGATTATATTTCTGACCAGACTAGCTTCAAGGTGCATTCCTGTAAATCCCAGTGTCCTGATTAGCTAGGGTTATAGATTTATGCCAGATATTCCTGGAAAGATTTTTTCTTTTTTTTTTTTTTTGGATCTGGTCGTGGGGCCTGAACTCTGGGCCTGGGCACTGTCCCTCAGCTCTTCATCTCAAGGCTAGCATTCTACCACTTGAGCCACAACACCACTTCCAGCTTTTTTCTTTTTTGCTTATGTGATGCTGAAGAATCGGACCCAGGGCGTCATGCATGCAAGGCAAGCGCTCTACCACTGAGCCACCTTCCCAGCCCCATGGCAAGATACTTATCTATCAATATTTCTTGTATTTTTCACTTACATTTCTAAAACAAATAGAAATCCAATTAACCAAATTTATTTTTTAGAATAATGTGTAGAAAGATAGATTTGGGCTAAATATTGAAAAGTACAGGATTTAGTTAAGACAAATTTCTTTGTTACAAGGGTCAAGACTTTTTAAGAGTAAGATGACATTTTAAAATTTATTTTGTAGCCGGGCGCCGGTGGCTCACGCCTGTAATCCTAGCTACTCAGGAGGCTGAGATCTGAGAATCGCGGTTCAAATCCAGCCCCGGCAGGAAAGACTGTGAGACTCCTATCTCCCATAAACCACTAGAAAAAAACCGGAAGTGGTGCTGTAGCTCAAGTGGTAGAGCGTTTGCCTTGAGCTGAAGAGCTGAGGGACAGCGTCCAGGCCCAGAGTTCAAGCCCCATGACCGACCAAAAAAAAAAAAAAAGAATTTATTTTGTAATCTTTCTAAAGATTACTTTGTTTTCATTGAAAATACCAGTGCTGTAACTGAGCTACAGAGTTATAGTGCAACCTCTTCTACATTTAAATATGCTTCTATATACTTAAAAAAAAACTAAAGCCAGATATTTATATTTTCTACAAGTATATTTGTAGATGTTGACTTCATGGCCTATTTACATAAGATTTTATATAGTTATCTTAAATTCTGCATCATATTTTACATTCTAAAATAATAATATACAATTGATAATGACCAAATGTTTACTGACTTATTTGGCCTACAGAATGATGAACACTATGCTAATTGTTTCACAGATACATTCCGTTTAATCTTCTCAACAACCAGAAAGCCAATATTTTTATCTTCATTTCATAGTTAAAAGTGACCAAACATGAAGCAAGTCTCATAACTTGGTTAAAACCCTGAAGCCAAGGTTTGTACCTGGGCCAGTATGACTTTAGAATCCACATTCTTAGTATCCCTCCCATGTGATGTGCTGAAAACAACTGCTTGAATCAGTGTCTAGCCTTTTTCCCTTCCAGGAACTGGAGACTTGTTCTTTTTTTCTTCCATGCAATAAGTGGTAGCTATTGAGATGCAACCGTTAGAAGGTTCTCTAGCCTCTGGGATGCCTTACCTGTTGTTCCCAGATGTAATTGCTAGCACTATTGTCCTAGTCTGAGGTTTACATCACAAATAATATTTTGGAATTGTGACCACTTTTTATTTTGTTCAATAACATCAGTAGTAAAACTTCTGCATTAGTATAGTGTGTATGTGTATGTACACACACACACATATACACACGCCACTACTAATACTTACACCAAGGGCCATATCAAGGGGTAAATCAAGTCTTTGAGTATCTCCCATATAAATGGGATTTAATATGCCAAGTGTTAAAGCCTAACTGGGAACATAACTTGCCACCTCTTTCTACTCTTTTCTTATGTCATCAAATGGAGACATTTGATCACCAGTGATATATGTTTTCAGAAGATCGTTGGATCTAATGTGGAATGTAGGATACAAAACTAATCTTTTGGGGAAGGAAAAGGTGTATTGGGTTTGAACTCTGGACCTTATGCTTGCTGGACAAGCACTCTGCCACTTGAGCCATGCTCCCAATCCTTTGGTTATAATTTGTTTTTCAGATAAGATCTTTTGCCTGGGTAGCAAATGTAACCTTCCTATCACTACTTACCCAGTAGCTGAAATTGCAAGCATATGATATGACACTTAGCCCTAGTATACAGTCTTGATTTGGTAACTTCTTACAAGTGAAATTGTACTTATTTATTCCTTTCCCTTAGACAAATAAAGTGTAACAACATTAAAATAAAGAATACATCTCTTGAGTACAGGCTATTATGCCTTTTTTTTTTTTTTTAGGTCCAGTTGTGGGGCCTGAACTCTGGGCCTGAGCACTGTCCCTCAGCTCTTCAGCTCAAGGCTAGTGCCCTACCACTTAAGCCACAGCGCCACTTCCGGCTTTTTTCTTTTTGCTTATGTGGTGCTGAG